TAGGCGTTTTTTGCAGCTATGCAATGCAGAAAACGCTTATTGACGTGGAGCCTCTGTGTGTGTGTCTGTATCTGTGTGTCCGTGTGTGCGTCTGTCACGGTTTTTCATCTCAAGATCTACAAAAGCTGCAGGGCTGAAATTTTGGGAACTTAATCTACATGCACGTACGAACCCCAATCTCCAAAATGGGCGCTCTTACCCGCGTGGTACCTACGTACGGGCTCGCGAAAGTTTTTCTCGAGTAAGTTGCTAACTCAGGGGTCAGGAAAGTTAGAAGGCTGAAATTCTAAGGGGGTGTTTTCTGACAGTTTTGGCGGCCAGTTATAATTTGTTTAGCTAGAAGCATTTGCCGAAAAAACCGGTGCCGATCGCGACAAAAACCGCGGGGAAGTATGCAAAAAACACATCTTCGCACCGGCAGCCGGTGCGCTGGCTGATCATTGTTTTTTTTTTTTTTACTGAGAATCAGTGTTTCAGTGTATCAGTTTTTCCCGCGCATCATCGTGTAATACGTATCCAGGTGGCTAGCCTCTTAGTTCGTAGTTCAAAATTATGCATATCTGCAGAAATTTGCAATAAACAAACCGATGGTGCGAATAATTCCCGAGAAAATATGTTTTGGTGCCGATAGTTTGAGCCAAATTGATTGATTATTCTAGGTGACGGCGCTTGCAAAAGACTCGAACTACTTGCATCGTATGTCATGCCTGTTCTGTTTTAACACCCTCTGTGAAGCAGTTGGCCCTGAGAATACTGTTAAAGAATTGCTTCCGGTCGTACAACAGGTTTTCATTATTTATTTGTAATTATTTTCTGGTAGGGCCGCAGTTATTGTAACTACGAGGAAAGAGGAGAATTCCTCCAAAAATTTTACAGTTATTTATATAGGTTATTTTTCAGTTTTTTGCAACTTTGCAGTTCTTGCAGTTATTTATATTTATATAGGTAGTTACTGGTAACGAAATTAGGCTAGATTTTGAAAGGATTGAAAAAAAAAATAGATTTTGAAAGGACGTCACATTCCTGTCTGGGAATCCGGTTGATGTGTTTTATTAAGCTTATGAAGTTAATTGAAATTGACTGTTAAGCCTACTAGTTTTTTTTTTGATTTTACAGCATTGTCATTTTTAGTTTGGTTGTTTAATTCTGTATTTTCTTTTTCAGCTAAGTGACGATCCAGTGCCGAACGTGAGATTCAATGTAGCAAAAACTCTTCTCCGTATCGGACGTGTTATTGATCAAGGGTATTTTTTTGTAGAGCAGGAGGCTCACTTTGATTATTTGTTGTAATAATGGGCTTTTCCAGAAGAGAAACTAAGAATCCGAGTACATGCTGTGGAGTATTCATGTTTTTCTGAAAAAAAAGGGGTCGGCCATGCTTTTCTAAAAGCCCCAAAAACTGCCTGGGTTTTCATAACTTCTGAGATGTGGATTCGACAAAGGCCCACCGGTTTTTAAAATTGATGGTTCTTTCTACCTGGAAAGCAACAGTTTTGTTAAAAAATTAGTTAATCCAAAAAGGAAAACAAAAAAAAAAAAAGATATTTATGTAGTTTGTGTGAAGTGCAACAAATATCGTACCAAATAGTGTTTTTTGCAGGGTGGTAAACAGTCAGATTAAGCCGTTACTGATGAAGATGTGCAACGACAGCGAATTCGACGTACGATATTTCGCGGATGAGACGAGAATGGGTTTGTTTGCTTTTTTTTGTTCTGTAAAATACAGCGTTAAAATAGCTTGCTGTTTGAATTTGAAAATAACTGAATGAGTGAAATTCGACGGACAGGATACCTTTCCTCGCAAATCCAAATTCCCACGCTCTCGGGTATTACTTACGGCTCCGTGAAATCTTTGGCAGGTAAATTATTATTTCGGAACCATAAAAGCCAGGAAGCTGAAATTTTACGGGGATTTCCCTCTCCCACATGCAATCCCGCAAATTTAAGCTCAGTTTTTATAGTAGCTTTCAGGCTTCTTAGTCTATCAGCGAGTGGTACTTCAGAAACAGAAAATTTCCGCTTAGATGGCCCTGGTCATTCGTTTAGGCAATAACATGAAATGTAGTAACTAGAAGTAGCGTTGTTGAAAGCTGAATTCGGCGTGTATCTGTATTTTAATAGATGAAAAAATATCAATCTGATTGCCGCGGACACCAAAGCTGGCAAAAAGTGGAGGGATTTTATGGTTGCCTGTGATAGTACATGGACATTGTGAAGTGTGTGTGTGTGGACTTTATTAAATCATTTGACTTTATTACATATCGGTTAGGAGGCTGTACTGATGATTCCCGATCCTATGCGCACCTGACTTCTGTCTGTGTTTAAAGTGAAGGGATGAAACACAGGCAGATTTTTCCGCATTTTTCCTTTTTTGCATGACTTCACAACGGGACACACG